ACACACACACACACACACACACACACACACACACACACACACACACAGAGGCTGGAAGATACAAGGCAGAGCTCATGGAAACTGGCCTTGAAACAGAATTTAAAAGTGTTAAACACTCATGAAAAGCAAAGGGCAAAATAACGATGCTGAGCAGGAAATTCAACAGAAGAAATTGCTTGTTTGCAGAAAATCATATCTCTTGGTGAATGAAAACGGTTCAATGGTAATCTTGGTATGGCCACATAATTTCAATATCTTAATAGTTTGACAAATTTAAAAACCATCATACACATGAAAGGTGATTAGAAATGTAACATGTTCTGAAGATATTTTTCTTTATTTTCCTAACATTTAGAAAGTCACATTAGCAAGAGCATAAAAAGTCAACATAGGAAATATTGATTATAACAGTCCAGGATCTTATCAAAACAAGCCCTTTGCCTTATTCTACAATCACAACACATTCACAGAGAATCAAGATCAAATCTTCAGTCATAATGAAAAGGTTCTTTTACCTCAGGCAGGTTCCTCATTTTATAAGTTTGATAAATAAAGAGGTTCTGATGGTGGAAAAACCTCATTATTTTAGATAGCTACAGTATTAATCAGTGGTCATTTCAGATCATCATAACCACAGAACCTTCAAATATGCAATGATACATCTCAAGCCTGCTTTGTATGCATGAAGGGTACCAACCAGCCACTTGGCACATGTCTAGTCAATAGTGAGATGCCATTTACCCCTCAACACTGTGGAATTCTTTGGACAGCAAATGTAAGAGCTCTGGATATTTTTCCAGCAGCATCTAATTCCTTGGCAAAACTCAGGCAGTTATGCTAACAACTTTGGTCTCAGGACATGGACATAGTGCTGCCGGGCATCTTGTCCTGGCTTTTCCTCCCAGGAAAAGAGTCTGAATTAACTATACCATGTTAGGCACAACAGCATAAATGGGTACTATCTAGAAACAAGAAAAAGTAATTTCACCTTGCCAGCTAATTCTTGCTGGCCCAGCTCAGCCAAGTAATTTTTTTCCTTCTGCTCAACTCTTATAACCCTTATTGTGAACCTCTAAAATTCATGTTTTGTGATTTAAAAGAACTGCAAGTTTCATTGTATCTATGTTTAGGTGACTCTAACGTCCTTGAAGACAGACTGGATCTTATATTCTCATTTTTAGCTGTCAAAGAGTTCTTAGTAGGTTGCTTTGCATATGTCATGCAATAAATTTCTAATGCTTTAATTTATATAGTTAATTTTCCTACTTCCTTTGCCAAAATAAAGTATGAAAGACTTGTAATTTTCTGGAGAAATATATAACCTACCTAGTCCTGTAATCCAAGGCCTGGAAACCACTCCAAAGTGAGATAAATACTAAAAACTATCATTAGAGTTTAAATAACTATCTGATTGACATCTGGGTCTCAGTGAAAAGTACAAGGTTCAAAAGCATTCTGACATGATAGGGCATATTAAATTTAATTCAGTAGTCATGAAGACTTAAAACTACCAATTAAAATACGCAAAATACAGACCAAATTCAACTTTAACATAATTTGAACTTAAGCATTTTCATTTTTTGACAAAGACATACTTTTTTATTTCATACTTAATGTTTCTGTGTAATTAGTTTTGCATTCTAATATATTTCATCTCTGTGGACTTCACAGAAATTAGAGTAATACAAATGTCATTCAGCTCTACGTTATAAGACATGATCGCTCTTAAATTTATGAGGATGAATAATATAGCTAATAAAAACATTTTCAAATTTATAATGTATATTAGGCTTTAAAAATCTACTGTTTTGCCAGCCAAGCATGGTGGCTCATGCCTGTAATTCTAGCACTTTGGGAGGATGAGGCAGGTGGATCACTTGAGGCCAGGAGTTCAAGACCAGCCTGGCCAACATGTTGGAACTCCACCTCTACTAAAAATACAAAAATTAGCCAGGCCGCATGGTGGCACACGCCTGTAATCCCAGCTATTCGGGAGGCTGCGGCTGGAGAATCACTTGAACCTGAGAGGCGGAGGCTGCAGTGAGCTGAGATCGGGCCACTGCACTCCAGCCTCAGCAACAGAGCCAGACTCTATCTGAAAAACAAAAAAACAAAAAATCCACACACTTTAAATGTCTCACATAAGAATAATACACCCAACATTATTACACTAGGAATTATACTTTTAGGACTCCCACTCAAGTAAATACAAGAAACAGTAAGAAATCACGGAACATAAATGTGTTTACTCACATGTAACCAGTAAGTAATCACTCAACATACATGTGATTACTTACTAGTTCTTACATATACACATGCATTGTAAGAATAATCTATATTTAAAAAAAAAGAGACAAAAATGAGAAAATCCTCAGATCCAAAACTCTTTTAAAAAATATTTTGACACATGGTAAAATGATGATCCATTCCCAAGATAAATATGTATTCTGTGGGCAGACTCATACCTACAGCACTTATTTATGTTAAGGCCACAAATTTAGTGTAAAATGAAAGCTGTGAAGTATTAACTCTTCAGGCAGAAGCTATTGTTGTATACTACTAAGTCCGATTATTAAAAAAAAACAAGTTAACCTGTAATTTCAAGCTGAATAAATTCATTGAAATATTAGAGTTAAGGGGGAAAAAAGAATGTTTATGAGTGAAAAAAAACTAAAAACTCAAAAATATTTTCTAGAGACTTAGAATAAATCATTTAACAAATTATTTTGATCAACACATAGTAATAATATTAGAACACTTCCTTTAAAAATAAAACAAAATCACCAAGCGAGGTGGCTCATGCCTGTAATCCCAGGACTTTGGGAGGCCGAGGCAGGTGGCTCACAAGGTCAGGAGTTTGAGACCAGCCTGACCAACATGGTGAAACCTTGTCTCTACTAAAAATACAAAAATTAGCTGGGCGTGGTGGCACAGGCTTGTAATCCCAGCTACTCAGGAGGCCGAGGCAGGAGAATTGCCTGAACCTGGGAGGTGGAGGTTGCAGTGAGCCAAGATCATGCCACTGCACTCCAGACCAGATGACAGAGTGAGACTTTGTCTCAAAAAAAAAAAAAAAAAAAAGTTAAAATAAAACAAAATGGGCCAGGCATGGTGGCTCACACCTGTAATTCCAGAATTTTGGGAGGCCGAGGCGGGTGGATCACCTGCGGTCAGGAGTTTGAGACCAGCTAGACCAACAGGAGAAACCCCATCTGTACTAAAAATACAAAAATACCCAGATATGGTGACACATGCCTGTAATCCCAGCTACTCAGGAGGCTGAGGCAAGAGAATCACTTGAACCCGGGAGGTGGAGGTTGTGGTGAGCTGAGATTGCACCAATGCACTGTAGCCTGGGCAACAAGAACAAAACTCTACCTCAAAACAAACAAACAAAACCAAAATAAAATCTCCCAGCAAAATGAGAAAAAAATGGCATGAGTGAGAATTAATGTGGGCATGATTTTTAAATTTTTCTTTTTTAAATTTCAACTTTCATTTTAGATACAGGGAGTAACATGTGCAGGTTTGTTACATGGGTATACTGCACCAGGTAGTGAACATAGCATAGTACCCAATAGGTAGTTTTACAATGCAGGCCCTCCCTCCCTGCTATAGTAGTCCACAGTGTCTACTGTTCCCATGTTTATGTCCATCTGTGCTTAATGTTTACCTTCTGCTTGTAAGTGAGAATATGCAGTATTTGGTTTTGTCTGTTCGTACATTCGTTAGTTTAGGATTATGGCCTCCAGCTCCAACCATATTGCTGCAAAAGATATGCTTTCATTCTTTTTCATGGCAGCATAGTACTCCATGGCACATATGTACCATATTTTCTTTATCCAATCCACCATTGATGTGCACCTAGGTTGATTCCATGTCTTTGCTACTGTGAATAGCACTACGATGAACATATAAGTGTATGTGTCCTTTTGGTATAATAATTATTTGGGGGGAGGCTGTACATCCCAGTAATGGAACTGTTGGGTTGAATGGTAGCTCTGATTTAAGTTCTTTGAGAAATCTCCAAACTCCTTTCCACAGTAGCTGAACTAATTTACATTCCCATTCACAGTATATAAGTGCTTCCTTTTCTATGCAGTCTTGCCAGCATCTATTGCTTTTTGACTTTTTAATATAGCCATTCTGTCTGGTGTGACATGGTATCTCTCTGTGGTTTTAATTTGCATTTCTCTGATGATTAGTGATGATTAGCATTTTTTCATGTTTGTTGGCTGCTTACATGTCTTCTTTCGAGAAATGTCTGTTTATGTCCTTTGCCCGTCTTTTAATGCGCTTGTTTTCTGCTTCAGTTCCTTATTGATTTCTAGATACAGAATTTTTGTTGGATGTATAGTTTGAAAGTATTTTCTCCCATTCTGTACGTTGTTTACTCTGTCAATAGTTTCTTTTTCTGTGCAGAAGCTCTTTAGTTTAATTAGGTCCTACTTGTCAATTTTTGTTTTTGTTGCAACTGGTTTTGGGGTCTAAGCCAAAAATTCTTTGGCAAGGTCTTACTGAGAAGGGTATTTCCTACGTTTCCTTCTGGGATTTTTATAGTTTGAGGTTTTATATTTAAATCTTTAATCTATCTTGAGATAATTTTTATATAAAATTTAAGGTATTTATTTTCATTCTTCTGCATATGGCTAGCCAGTTATCCCAGCATATTTATTGAAAAGGAAGCCCTTTCCATATTGCTTGTTTTGTTGGCCTTGCCAAAGATCAGATGGTTGTAGGTGTGTGACTTCATTTTTGAGTTTTCTATTCTGGTCTATGTGTCTGTTTTTGTACCAGTACCATGCTATTTTGGTTACTGTAGCCTTATACTTTAGTTTGAAGTCAGGAAGTGTGATGCCTCCCACTTTGTTCTTTCTGCTTAGTATTGCTTTGGTCATTCAGGCTCTTTTTTGGTTCCATATTAGTTTGGTTTTTTGCTAGTTCAGTGAAAAATAACACTGGTAGTTTGAAAGAAATCTGTACATTGCTTTCGTCAATGTGGCCATTATAATAATACTGATTCTTCTGATGCATGAGCATGAAATGCTTTGCCATTTACTTGTTTCATCTCTGATTTCTTTCAGCAGTGTTTTGTAGTTCTCATTGCAGAGATCTTTCACCTCCTTGGTTAGCTGTATTCCTAGGCATTTAATTTTCTTTGTGGCTAATGTAAATTGGACTGCGTTCTCAGTTTGACTCTCAGGCTGGGCGTTATTGGTGTATAGATATGCTAATGAGTTTTGTATATTGTATATTTTTATATATTGTGGGGTTTTTTTGTTTGACAGTCATACTCTGTTGGCCAGGCTAAAGTACAGTGGAACAATCTTGGCTCACTGCAACATCTATCTCCTGGGTTCAAGTGATTATCGTGCATCGGTCTCCTCAGCATTTGGGATTACAAGCACATACCACCATGCCTGGATAATTTTTGTACTTTTAGTAGAGTCAGGGTTTTGCTATGTTGGTCAGGCTGGTCTCAAACTCCTGACCTCAAGTGATCCACCCATTTCTGCCTCCCAAAGTGCTAGGATTACATGCATGAGGCACCACACTCGGCCTGTACATTGATTGTACATCCAGAAACCTTGCTAAATTGTCTATCAGTTCTAGGAGCTTCTTGTAGGGTCTTTAGAGTTTTCTAGGTATAGAATCATGTCATCGGCAAAGAGAGATAATTTGACTTCTTTTTCCATTTGGATGCCTTTCATTTCTTTCTCTTGCCCGATTGCTGAGGCTAGGACTTTCAGACTACACTGAATAGGAGTGGTGAGAGTAGGCATCCTTGTCTTGTTCCAGTTCTCAAGAGAAATTGTCCCAGCTTTTCTCCATTCAGTATAATGTTAGTTGTAGGTTTGTGGTTAATGATAGAGGGCTCTTATTATTTTGAGGTATGTTCCTTCAATGGCTAGTGTTTTGAGGTTTTTTTTTATCAAGAAGGGATGTTCAGATTTTATCAAAAGTTTTTACGGCATCTATTGAGTTGATCATACGGTTTTTGCTTTTAATTCTGTTTATGTGTTGAATCACATTTATTGATTTGTGTATGTAAAACCAACCTTGCATCCCAGGAATAAAGCCTACTTAACTGTGGTGAATTAAGTTTTTGATGTGCTTCTGAATTCAGTTCACTAGTATTTTATTGAGGAGTTTTGTATATGTGTTCTTTAGCAATATTGGTCTTAGTTCTCTTTCGTTATTGTTTCTGTCAGACTTTGGTATTAGGTGATGCTGGCCTCACAGCATGAGCTACAGAAGGAGTCCCTCCTCTTACATATATATATTTTAAAATAATTTCAGTAGCACTGAAACCAGTTCATTTTTATATGTCTAGCAGAATTTAGCTATGAATACATCTGGCCCAGGGCTTTTTTTGATTGCCAGGTTTTTTATTGATTCAATTTCAAAGTTTCATACTGGTCTATTCAGGGATTCAATTTCCTCCTGATTCAATCTTGGGAGATTGTGTTTTTCCAGGAATTCCTCTATTTCCTGCAAATTTTCTAATTTGTATGCATAGAGTTGTTGACAGTATTCTCCGAAGATCTTTTGTATTTCTGTGGAATCAGCCGTAATGTCATCATTGTCATTTTTGATTGTATTTATTTGGATCTTCTCTTGGTTAATCTAGCTAGTGGTCTATCAATCTTGCTTATTTTTTTTCTTTTCTTTTTTTTTTTTTTTGAGACGGAGTTTTGTTCTTATTGCCCAGGCTAGAGTACAATGGGGCAATCTCGGCTAACCACAACCTCTTCCTCCTGGGTTCAAGCGATTTTCCTGCCTCAGCCTCCTGAGTAGCTGGGATTATAGGCATGCACCACCATGCCTGGCTAATTTTGTATTTTTAGTAGAGACAGGATTTCTCCATGTTGGTCAGGCTGGTCTCAAACTCCTGACCTTGGGTGATCTGCCCACCTCAGCCTCCCAAAGTGTTGGGATTACAGGCTTGAGCCACAGTGCCCAGCTCAATCTTGCTTATTTTTTCCAAGAGCCAACTCTTGTTTTCATTGATCTTTTGTATGGATTTTTGCATCTCAATTTCATTATGTGCTTTTCCAATTTTGGTTATTTCTTTTCTTTTGCTACCTTTGGAGTTGATTTGTTCTTTCTAGTTTTTTTAGGTTTAATGTTAGATTGTTAATTTTAGAGTTTTCTAACTAATTGATGAGGGTGTTTGTTTACAGCTATAAACTTTCCTCTTAACACTGCTTTAGTTGCATCACAGAGATTTGGGTAATTTTCATTAATTTCAAAGACTTTTTTGATTTCTGCCTTAATACTGATGTTCACCCAGGCGTTATTCTGGAGCAAGTTTTTTAATTTCCATCTCTTTGTGTACTTTTAAGAGATTTTTTTTTTTTTTTTTTGAGACAAAGTTGCTCAGACTGGAGTGCAGTGGCGTGATCGCGGCTCACTGCAACTGAGTAGCTGGGATTACAGGCATGCGCCACCATGTTGGCCAGGCTGGTCTTGAACTCCTGACGTTAAGTGATCTGCCTGCCTCAGCCTCCCAAAGTGCCGGGATTACAAGTGTGAGCCACCACGTCTGGCCTAAGAGATCTTCTTGATATTGATTTCTATTTTTATTGCACTGTCCTCTGAGAGTGTGCTTGATATTTCAATTTTTTTGAATTTATTGGGACTTGCTTTATGTCTGAGCATGTGGTCAATCTTAGAATATGTTCTGTGTACAGATGAGAAGAATGTATATTCTGTGGTTGTTGGGTGGAAGGCTCTGTAAATTTCTATTAGGTCTAATTGGTCAAGTGTTGGGTTTAAGTCCAGAATTTCTTTGTTAGTTTTCTGCCTCAATGATCTGTCTAATGCTATCAGTGGGATGTTGAAGTCTCCCACTATTATTGTGTGGTTACCTAAGTCTTTTTGTTTTTGAGACAGAGTCTCACTCTGTTACCCAGGCTGGAGTATAGCGGTATGATATCGGCTCACTGCAACCTCCACCTCCCAGGTTCAAGGAAGTCTCCTGCCTCAGCCTCCTGAGTAGCTGGGATCACAGGCACCCACCACCACACCTGGCTAATTTTGTATTTTTAATAGAGATGGGGTTTCACCACGTTGGCCAGGCTAGTCTTGAACTCCTCAACTCAGGTGATTTGCCTGTCTTGGCCTCCCAAAGTGCTGGGATTACAAGCGTAAGCCACCACGCCCAGCCACCTAAGTCTTTTTTAATGCCAATACAGTAACTTGTTTTATGAATCTGGGTGCTCCAGTGCTGCGTGTGTATATATTTAGAATGGTTAAGTCTTCCTGTTGTGTTGTACCCTTTACCATTATATAAGGTACTTTATTGTCCTTAATTTTTACTAAAGTTTGTTTTATCTGATATAAGAATAGCAACCCTTGCTTTTTTTTTTTTTTGGAGACACAGTCTTGCTTTGTCACCCAGGCTGGAGTGCAGTGGTGCAATCTCGGCTCACTACAGCCTCTGCCTGCTGGGTTCCAGTGATTCTCCTGCCTCAGCCACCTGGGTAGCTGGGATTACAGGCATGCACCACCATGCCTAGCTGATTTTTGCATTTTTAGTAGAGATGAGGTTTCACCATGTTAGCCAGGCGGGTCTCAAACTCCTTACCTCATATGATCTGCCTGCCTCAGCCTCCCAAAATGTTAAGATTACAGGTGTGAGCCACCGCACCCAGCCCCTTGCTCTATTATGTTTTCTTTCTGCATTGTAGGTCTTTCTCCATTCCTTTACTTCGAGACTGTGGGTGTCATTATGTGTAAGATGTGTCTCTTGACAACAACAGATAGTTAAGTCTTACCTTTTCATTCACCTTGTCACTCTATGCCTTTCAAGTGAGGCATTTAGCCCACTTATATTCAAAGTTAGTATGGATATATGTGATTTTGATCCTGTCATCGTGGTGTTAGCTGGTTGCTATGTAGACCTGATTGTATAGTCGCTTTTTAGTGTCTGGGCTACGTGCTTAAGTATGTGTTTGTTGTAGTGGGTGTCAGTCTTTTGATTTCACTTTAGCACTCCCAGAAGGACCTCTTATAAGGGTGGTCTAGTTGAAACAAATTCCCTCAGCATATGCTTGTCTGAGAAGGATTTTGTTTCTCCTTCACTCATAAAATTTAGTTTGGTGAAATATGAAATTCTTGGTTGAAATTGTTTTTCTTTAAGGATGCTGAAAATAGGTCCCAAATCTCTTTTAGTTTGTAGGGTTTCTGCTCACAGGCCTGCTGCTAATGGGGTTGTTTAGCCTAAAGGGATTCTTTCCATATATGACTTGATCATTCTCTCTAGCTGCCTTTAAGATTTTTTCTTGGCTGGATGCGGTGGCTCACGCCTGTAAACCCAGCACTTTGGGAGGCCGAGACAGGTGGATCATGAGGTCAAGAGATCGAGACCATCCTGGCCAACATGGTGAAATCCCGTCTCTACTAAAAAAAAACACAAAAATTACCTGGACGTGGTGGCTCACACCTATAGTCCCAGCTGCTCGGGAGGCTGAGACAGGAGAATTGCTTGAACCCAGGAGGCAGAGGTTGCAGTGAGCCGAGATCATGCCACTGCACTCCAGCCTGGTGACAGAGTGAGACTCCATCTTAAAAAAAAAAAAAAAAAAAAAAGAGACCAAATTTATTCATTGGCTTTTTTTTTTTGAGATGGAGTCTCACTCTGTTGCCCAGGCTGGAGTGCAGTGACGCAATCTCAGTTCACTGCAACCTCCACCTCCCGGGTTCAAGTGATTCTCCTGCCTCAGACTCCCACATAGCTGGGACTATAGGCACCTACCACCATGCCCAGGTAATTTTTGTATTTTTAGTAGAGACGGGGTTTCACCATGTTGGCCAGGCTGGTCTCCAACTCCTGATCTTGTGATCCGCCTGCCTCAGCCTCCCAAAGTGCTGGGATTACAGGTGTGAGCCACCGCATCCGGCCTAAATTTGGTCTCTTAACATAACTCCATCTTTCTTGGAGGTTTTGTTCATTGTTTTAAATTGTTTATTTTTGTCTGGGTTGATTTGAAAAACCAGTCTTTGAGCTCTGAGTCTCTTTCCTCCATTTGGTCTATTCTGCTGTTCATACTTGGATTGTACTGTGAAATTTTTGTAGTAAACTTTGCAGCTCTAGAAGTTCTGTTTGGTTCTTTTTAAAAATGGCTATTTCATCTTTCAGCTCTTGGATCATTTTGCTAGATTCGTTGGATTGAGTTTCAATTTTCTATTCAATCTCAGTGGACTTTCTTGACATCCAGATTCTCAATTCTGGGTCTGCCATTGCAGTCATTTTGGAATAGTTAAGAACCATTGTTGGGAAGCTAGTAGACTCGTCTGGAGTTAACGGGACACTCTCGTTGTTTGAACTGCCAGAGTTCTCGTGTAGATTCTTTAAGTGTGGGTGAATTCTTGCACTTGGTTTCACAGGTGTATATATTAGCAGGATAATTTTTGTTGTTGTAGTTTGAAGTGTGATCCGGCAGACGGTGCTTAGAGTAATGGCCAATAAATAGGCAAATATCTAGCCTTACAGATCTTTTGTACTTTGTTGCATTCTCAGGTGTGCTCTGTGGTGTGGAAGGGGAGGAGATGGCTCCCTCACCAGGTCTGCTCCTGAGCCTTGGGGGTGCCTCCTCCAATCACTGGTGCTGTACTCACATTTTCTTTTGTTAGGTGTTCCTGGACAGCTAGATAGGGTCTTAGCAGGAGCCAGTGAGAAGGAGGGCTTACAGAACAGATATGCCCCAGTCTTATGGGGAAGCCAGCCTGATCTTTTTCTTTCTTTCTTTCTTTTTTTTTGGAGACACAGTCTCACTCTGTAGCCCAAGCTGGAATGTAGTGGCATGATCTTGGCTTGCTGCAACCTTTGCCTCTGAGGCTCAAGTGATTCTCCTGCCTCAGCCTCCCAAGCAGCTGGGACTATAGGTGTGCACCACCACACCTGGCTAATTTTTTGTATTTTTAATAGAGACCGGGTTTCTCCATGTTGCCCTGGGTGGTCTTGAACTCCTGAGCTCAGGCGATCCACCTGCCTTGGCCTCCCAAAGTGCTGAGATTACAGGCATGAGCCACCATGCCCCACCCAGCCCCAGTCTTTCTTAGGTTGAAGGTTAGCTGGGGCCAGCACCTCCTGGAGGAAGATGAAGAGCCCTGGAGGGTTGGTGTCTATGGCTAATCTCTGCCACAGCTGACCAGCATACAAAAACTCCTGGGCTCCGTGCTGACCACACTCCTGTCTGTCTTGCTCCCTAGAAAGATTCCCCTGCCAGGTCACAGGGTCCCCTGTAGCTAGGATCTTAGTGGTCTTTAGCAAGAGTGAGCTATCCCTCATTTCCCTCATACATCCCTTTCCCAAAAGCTATTCAGGGCCAAGAACTGGCACCAGCATTCAGATACCCCACGAAAGGTTCCCAGGTTTCTCTCTCTTCTGCCTTGGCTTCAGCATCACCTCTCTAACCACTCTTGGCATTTTCTCTCTTAAGAGTTGCCCAAATTATGCTTACTTGATAATTTGGTCTCTCTTGGTGGGAGTGGCACTTACAGGCAGCATTTAGTTGGCTATCTGGTCCACCCTCTTGAGCATTATTTTTAAAGCATATTCGTACAGTTGACACCCAGGAGTCCGATACTTGAAATTTGCATCTTTTTTTTTTTTTTTTTGGAGATGGAGTCTTGCTCTGTTGCCCAGGCTGGAGTTCAGTGGCACAGTATCAGCTCACTGCAACCTCCGCCTTCTGGGTTCAAGCAATTCTCCTGCCTCAGCCTCCTGAGTAGCTGGGATTACAAGTGTCCACCACCACGCCCAGTTAATTTTTTGTAGAGACGGTGTGTCACTATGTTGGCCACGCTGGTCTCAAACTCCTGACCTTGTGATCTGCCCGCCTCAGCCTCCCAAAGTGCTGGGATTACAGGAGTGAGCCACCGCACCTGGTGAAATTTACCTATTTTTAATTGATCCATTTCCTTTGCTGAAGAACTATCAGAATTGTACAGAATCATAAAATTTCAGAATTAAGGGAAATTTTGGATTTGGGGGTGGGGAGGATAGTGAAGAAGAATAGGGAGGATGCCAATATTTATTGGACACCTATGAGTTCCTCTTTACTGAAGTGGGATATCCCTGAGAAAACTGAGGAGTAAGGGAATCTGGCTTCCCTGGGGAACCTTTGATAGTATACCTGTGCACATCAGGGAGCAGTGGTGGGCACAACTGATCATAAATGAGAGGCAGCTTAAAGTTTCTTTTAGACTACCCTCATTTCTCAAATCCTCCTCTAGGACCTGATTCTCTCCCTCATTATCTTGGACTTGGTGGTAATCTCATGCTCTACCCCAGTTTCTGCTCCCTAGGCCTAATATCATCATCTCCTACACCATGACCCTGTTCTCACTGGCTCCCAACTTTACTGAACCTTACCTGTATTACTTCATTTCCTCAGAGCCTCAAATATCAATTAGCTCAATAAATGCATCAAGCTCAAACCAGCCCATACAAAGTAAAGAGCATTTGAGGACATTGCCAGATTATATTCATTCATTAAAACTGTGGCATTTGGGAGACAATCTTCCATTTTGAGTGTAGTTTGGAAATTTTTAGAAATTTTGGCTCAGGTTAAAAAAAATTCCTCATAAATCAAACCACAAATGAGGCCAGGTATGGTAGCTCAAGTCTGTAATTCAAGCACTTTGAGAGGCTGAGGTGGGAAGATCACTTGATTCCAGGCATTCAAGACCAGGCTGGGCAACTTGGTGAAACACTGTCTCTACAAAAAAATACAAAAAATTAGCCAGGCATGATGGTATGCGCCTGTAGTCCCAGCTACCCAGGAAGCTGAGGTGGGAGCCCAGGAACCAGAAGGGCAAGGCTGCAGTGAGCTGTGATTGCACCACTGCACTCCAACTTGGGTGACAGAGTGAGATCCTGTCTCAAAAAAAAAAAAAAAAAGAGAAGAAGAAGAAGAAAAGCACAAATACAAATGGCACTATGTGCTGGTGTTGCCACTAGAAAGACCACATAGTTCCATAAGAGGCAGTCAGTCAGAAATGACTAGTCCTAGTCCAGCCAGACCCAACTTTCAAACTTTCTTTTTTTTTTTTTTTTTGAGATGGAATCTAGCTCTGTCGCCCAGGATTAGATAACTGAGTGCAGTGGCGTGATCTCAGCTCAGTGCAACCCCCACCTCCCAGGTTCAAGCGATTCTCCTGCCTCAGTTTCCCGAGTAGCTGGGATTACAGCTGCCCGCCACCACACGCAGCTAATTTTCTGTATTTTTTAGAAGAGATGGGGCTTCACTGTGTTGGCCACACTGGTTTCAAATTCCTCATGATCTGCCTGCCTTGGCCTCTCAAAGTGCTGGGATTACAGGCGTGAGCCACCACGCCCGGCCAACTTTCGAACTTTCTAGTGTTCTTGCAAAAGTCATTTACCTCTCTGAATCTCAGTTTCCTTATTTGTTAACAAAACAAACAAAAGCAATAACTCTTCTGCCTGATTAAGCATATATGAAAAAAATGAGCTAGTCTATATGAAAGGATTTTAAAACCGAAAAACAGACAGGGCTTCAACATATGAAAAAGAAAGCAAAAAAGGGAAAATGAGTAACCGATTTCATTTCTAGAACATTTTCAAATAGGCTTATCCTATGTATTAAATAACATCAGTATTGTGATATCTCTAACTTTTCACATATATTCACTTTGTGTGACTTATAAAACCCCAAAGTAAAATCCAAGTGTCCTAAGTAGATGTGCAATGAAAACATCTGATTGTTAACCTGCTCCATCCAAAGAGAAATCAGGTTTAACTCTCCCCTTTATACAGCACCAGAATCCTACAACCATTTTTTTTTCTTTTTTTGAGACAGTTTTGCTCTTGTTGCCCAGGATAAAGTGCAATGGCGTGATCTCAGCTCACTGCAACCTCCTCCTCCCATGTTCAAGTGATTCTCCTGCCTCAGCCTCCCAAGTAGCTGGGATTACAGGTGTGTGCCACCATGCACAGCTAATTTTGTATTTTTAGTAGAGATGGGTTTTTACCATGTTGGTCAGGGTGGTCTTGAACTCCTGACCTCAGATGATCCACTCACCTTAGCCTCCCAAAGTGCTGGGATTACAGGCGTGAGCCACCACACTGGCAGAGAATCCTACACTCTTAACAACGATACAAGGAATTCACTATTGCAGCATAAATTTGTTCCCATATAACTTCTCACACCTTAAAATCTGGCCATTCCCCATTTCTTCTGGGCATTCTTCTGTAATTATCCTGTCAACAAATATTAAGTATCTACTATGTGCCTAACTATAGAGAGATAAAAAAAGAGTGGTATTCTTGTCTTTGAAGAGTTCACAAAAAAGTTGTGAATAAACTTATATAAAAGAAGTGTAAGTAACTAATTTTACTAATGTGTTAAGTCCCATAATCAATGCTTTGGTAGTACAAGAAGAGAAAATGTCTAATTTTTCCTTAAGACTTCAAGGGAAATGTCACAAAGGAGTGTCAGCTGAGTCTTAAAGGATGATTTAATTAAAGGGTAGGCCAGGAGGAGTGTAAGCACCTTAGAAGAGAAGGAAATGATATGAGCAATGGCACAATGGCAAGAAAAAAGGCAACACATCTAAGAAACAAGTAGTTTAGAGTGGTTGGAGGCCAGTTAAGGCACAAAATAGTGAGGAACACAGGTAGGAGGGGAGGCATTCGTCAGATTATGAAGAGTCAAATATGTTTCATTAAGGAGTTTAGACATTATCTTGTAGGTAACGGGAAATCATTGAGAGAGTTGAAGCAAGTGAGTAACATGATGCAAATGCATTTAACAAAGATAACTCATACCCCTCACGTTCTGGAGAATGGGAGTAAGGGAAGCAAGAGAGAAAGACCTGAAACGGAAATAAAGAGAAAATGATAAGAGTCTCAACTATGGCAAGAATGGTAGAACTACAGGAGAGACATATCAAAGGAGCAAAAGAGCTGAAACCACACGTGTTGCCATGTTTTCCCATATTCCAAGATCACAGTAAAATTAAAGAATTATAATCATTCAGTAACAAGAATCTATTTGCTTACATTCCCTTATATTCCCTTAATGTGTTATATTTTTCGATGTGTTCCCAAATACGTCATCTTATTTCAACTGACAACAATCTCAGATAGTTGTTAAGAATTGGACTGACAACAATGTCAGATAGTTGTTAAGAACTGTTAACAGTTGGGTACGGTGGCTGATGCCTGTAATCCCAGCACTTTGGGAGGCTAAGGCGGGCGGATCATGAGGTCAAGAGATCAACAACATCCTGTCCAACATGGTGAAACCCATCCCTACTAAAAATACAAACAAATTAGCCAGGCGATATGATCCAAGATGGCCGATTAGGAGCAGCTAAGGATTGCAGATCCAAGTGAAAGCGTGGAGGGTGAGTGAACACAGCATTTCCAGACGGATTTTTAATGCCCACAGACAGCAGATGCACAGGCGGAGGAGCCCCATGGGTTGCTAGTGCGGCTGTTTTGGCCAGAGCACCGGTGGGGCGGTCTCTGTACAAAATACACAGGTCCGGGTGCCATTTTAGCTGGCGACTGGAGCTCCTGGGAGACAGAGTCGCCCATTCAACTGATAATAAAGGGGACTGAAACAGGGAGCCAGGCCAGTAGATTCCTGGGAAAAAAGAACCACGAATCTTAGCATGGCTATTTCAGCCGGCACAGTGGGTCGCCACACGGGAAATCACACAGATCCCGGCGCCTTTTCAACAGCAGACTGGAACACTTGGGAGACAGAGTTGACCGTTCAACTAAAAAGAAAAAAAAAGGGCTCTGAGGCAGGGAGCCAGGTGATCAGGCAGGGAGCCACTCCCACAAAAAAACAGCAATCGGAAACGCTCTGGATTGAGAGTTTCACAGCAAGCACAGCTGAACCTGAGAAGGTCCGGCTCTGTGGGGGAAGGGCATTCACCATTATCAAGGCAGTACACCACTAAGGAGGTAGTCCGCCATTGCCGAGGCAGCCCACTATTACAGAGAGAGTCTGACATTATAGGGGTGGGCCGCCATTGCCGAGGCAGTTCTAACTATACCCATATAAACAGGACTGCAGGGAAGTTCACACGGCAGCTGGGCGAAGCCCACAGCAGCTCAGCAAAGCCTCTGTAGGCAGACAGTGATTAGGCTGCCTCCTCGCTGGGCAGGGCAGCCCTGAAAAGAGGCAGCAGCACAACAGAAACTTATGAATAAAGGCCTAACTCCCTGGGACAGAGCATCTGGGGGAAAAACGGGATTTATGAGTTCTGCTACAGCAGACTTAAACGTACCTGCCCAGCAACTCTGAATGAACAACGGAGCTCACAGCGTAGCACTTGAGCTCCTATAAAGGACAAACTGTCTCCTCAAGCAGGTGCCTGACCCCTGTATATCCAAAGAATCACCTCATAAAGGAGAGCTCAGACTGACATCTGGCAGGTATCCTTCTGGGACAAAGACAGCAGCAGAAGAAACTGGCAGCAATCCTTACGGTCCTGCAGCCACTGCAGGGGATCCCCAGGCAAGCAGGGCCTGGAGTGGACCTCAGCAGTCCTACAGCAGAGGGGCCTGAATGTTAGAAGGAAAACTAAGAAACAGAAAGAAATAACTTCATCATCAACAAACTGGACATCCACTCAGAGACCCAATCTGAAAGCCAACAACTACAAAGACGACAGTGGATAAATCCACAAAGATGGGAAGAAACCAGCGCAAAAAGGATGAAAACACCCGAAACCAGAACGCCTCTCCCCCTACAAGGGATCACAACTCCTCACCAGCAAGGGAACAACGCTGGCTGGAGAATGAGTGTGATGAATTGACAGAATCAGACCTCAGAAGCTGGGTAATAAGAAAAATCTCTGAGCTAAAAGGACATGTTCTAACCCAGTGCAAAGAAACTGAGAACCTTGAAAAAAGATTTGATGAAATGCTAACAAGAATAAACAACTTAGAGAGGAATATAAGTGAATTGAGGGAGCTGAAAAAACAACACGAGAGCCGGGCGTGGTGGCGCGTGCCTGTAGTCCCAGCTACTCGGGAGGCTGAGGTGGGAGGATCGCTTGAGCCCAGGAGTTCTGGGCTGCAGTGCGCTATGCCGATCGGGTGTCCGCACTAAGTTCGGCATCAATATGGTGACCTCCCGGGAGCGGGGGACCACCAGGTTGCCTAAGGAGGGGTGAACAGGCCCAGGTCGGAAACGGAGCAGGTCAAAACTCCCGTGCTGATCAGTAGTGGGATTGCGCCTGTGAATAGCCACTGCACTCCAGCCTGGGCAACATAGCAAGACCCTGTCTCTGAAAAAAAAAAAAAAAACCAACACGAGAACTTCAATAAGCATACACAAGTTTCAACAGCTGAAATGACCAAGCAGAAGAAAGGATATCAGAGGTCGAAGATCAATTCAATGAAATAAAACAAGAAGGCAAGATTAGAGAAATAAGGGTAAAAAGGAATGAACAAAGTCTCCGAGAAATATGGGACTATGTGAAAAGACCTAATCTACGTTTGATAGGTGTACCGGAATGTGACAGAGAGAATGAATCCAAGCTGGAAAATACTCTTTAGGATATTATCCAGTAAAATTTCCCAAACCTAGCAAGGCAGGCCAATCTTCAAGTCCAGGAAATGCAGAGAATACCACAAAGATATTTCTCAAGAAGACCAACCCCAAGGCACATTGTCAGATTCACCAGGGTTGAAATGAAGGAGAAAATGCTAAGGGCAGCCAGAGAAAAAGGTCGGGTTATCCACAAAGGGAAGCCCATCAGACTCACAGCAGATTTCTCAGCAGAAACCCTACAAGACAGAAGAGAGTAGGGGCCAATATTCAACATCCTTAAAGAAAAGAACTTTCAACCCAGAATTTCATATCCAGCCAAACTAAGCTTCATAAGTGAAGCAGAAATAAAATCCTTTGTGAACAAGGAAGTACTCAGAGATTTCATTACCACCAGGCCTGCTTTACAAGAGCTCCTGAAAGAAGCACTAAACACAGAAAGGAACAACCAGTACCAGCCACTCCAAAAATATAACAAATGGTAAAGTGCATCAACACAACGAAGAAATTGCATCAACTAATGGGCAAAACAGCCAGTAGTATCAAAATGGCAGGATCAGAATCACACATAACAATATTAACCCTAAATGTAAATGGGCTAAATGCCCCAATCAAAAGACACAGACTGGCAAACTGGATAAAAACCCAAAATCCACTGGTGTGCTGTATCCAGGAAACCCATCTCACATGCAAGGATACACAAAGGCTCAAAATAAAGGGATAGAGGAAGATTTACCAAGCAAATGGAGAGCAAAAAAAGCAGGAGTTGCAATTCTCATCTCTGATAAAAGAGACTTGAAACCAACAAAGATCAGAAGAGACAAAGAAGGTCATTACACAATGGTAAAAGGATCAATACAACCGGAAGAGCTGACGATCCTAAATATATACGCACCCAATACAGGAGCACAAAGCAAGTTCTTAATGACTTACAAAGAGACTCAGACACCTACACAATAATAGTGGAAGACTTTAACATCCCATTGTCAATATTAGACAGATCAACGACACAGAAAATTAACAAGGATACCCAGGACTTGAACTCAGACCTGGGCCAAGCAAACCTAATAGACATTTACAGAACTCGCCACCCTAAATCCACAGAATATACATTCTTCTCAGCACCACATCACACCTACTCTAAAATTGACCACATAATTGGAAGTAAACTACTCCTCAGCAAATGCAAAAGAACAGAAATCATAACAATCAGTCTCTCAGACCACAGTGCAATCAAGTTAGAACTCAGAATTCAGAAACTAACTCAGAACCGTACAGCTTCATGGAAACTGAACAACTGGCTCTTGAATGTTGACTGGATAAAAAATGAAATGAAGGCAGAAACAAAGATGTTCTTTGAAACCAACGAGAATGAAGACACAACATATCAGAATCTCTGGGACACATTTAAAGCAGTGTCTAGAGGAAAATATATAGCAAGAAATGGCCAGATGAGAAGCAAGGAAAGATCTAAAATCGACACCCTATCATCAAAATTGAAAGAGCTAGAGGAGTAAGACCAAAAAAACTCAAAACCTAGCAGAAAACAAGAAATAACTAAGATCAGAGCAGAACTGAAGGAGATAGAGACACAAAAAACCCTTCAGAAAATCAATAAATCCAGGAGCTGGTTTTTCAAAAAGATCAACAAAATAGACCACTAGCCATATTAATAAAAAACAAAAGAGAGAATAATCAAATAGATGCAATAAAAAATGATAAAGGGGATATCACCACAGAATCCACAGAAATACAAACCATCATCAGAGATTATTACAAACATCTCTATGCACATAAACTAGTAAACCAGGAAGAAATGGATAAATTCCTGGACACTTGCATCCTCCCAAGCCTAAACCAGGATGAAGACGAAACCTGAATACAACAATAACAAGGTCTGGAGTTGAGGCAGCAATTAAGAGCCTGCCACCCAAAAAAAGCCCAGTCCAGACAGGTTCACAGCTGAATTCTCTCAGACATACAAAGAGGAGCTGGTACCATTCCTTTTGAAACTATTGCAAACAATACAAAAAGAGGGAATGCTTCCCAAATCATTTTATGAGACCAACATCATCCTGATACCAAAACCCGGTGGAGACTCAACAAGAAAAGAAAACTACAGGCCAATATCCATGATGAACATAGATGAAAAAATCTTCAATAAAATACTGGCAAGCCGATCGCAACAGCACTTCAAAAAGTTTATCCACCATGATCAAGTAGGCTTCATCCAGGGGAGGCAAGGCTGGTTCAACATACGCAGTCTATAAACGTAATTCACCACATAAACAGAACCAAAGACAAAAACCACATGATTATCTCAATTGATGCAGAGATGGCCTTTGACAAAATTCAACAGCCCTTTATGCTAAAAACCCTCAATAAACTAGATATTGACGGAACATATCTCAAAATAGTAAAAGCTATTTACAACAAACCAACAGCCAAAATCATACTGAATGGGCAAAAACTGGAAGCATTCCCTTTGAAATCTGGCATTAGACAAGGATGCCCTCTCTCACCACTCCTATTCAATACAGTATTGGAAGTTCCAGCCAGAGCAATCAGGCAAGAAAAAGAAATAAAAGGTTTTTGAATAGGAAAGGAGGAAGTCAAATTGTCTCTTCTGTAGACAACATGATTGTATATCTAGAAGACCCCATTGTCTCGGCCCAAAATCTCCTGAAACTGATAAGCAACTTCAGCAAAGTCTCAGCATACAAAATCAATGTGCAAAAATCACATGCATTCCTATACACCAATAACAGACTTAAAAAGAGCCAAATCAAGAATGAACTGCCATTCACAATTGCTACAAAGAGAATAAAATACCTAGGAATACAACTTACAATGAACGTAAAGGACCTCTTCAAGGAGAACTACAAAGCACTGCTCAACGAAATAAGAGAGGACACAAACAGATGGAGAAACATTTCATGTTCATGGTTAGGAAGAATCAATATCGTGAAAATGGCCATACTGCCCAAAGTAATTTACAGATTCAACGCTATCCCCATCAAGTACCAATGACCTTCTTCACAGAACTGGAAAAAAACACCTTAAACTTCATATGGAACCAAAAGAGAGCCCACATAGCCAAGTCAATCCTAAGCAAAAAGAACAAAGCAGGAGGCATCACACTACCGGACTTCAAACTATACTACAAGGCTACAGTAATCAAAACAGCATGGTACTGGTAACAAAACAGAGATATAGA